CATGTACGCAAGCGCGTCTTTTGATTTCAACCAATCAGCGCCGACGCAAATGACGTCACACACGACAACAGCTAAGCTAAGTTAGCCGAGACGACGCTCGAAGTCGGACGGACACGATTTTCTGCCAATCTGTGTTTTTCCCTTTTTGGCCAAATGTATTTTTTACGACAACTGTCTTGTCCACGGCGTCTTTTATTCGTTCCACTGGGGTTTAGCAGGTGTGTTTATAAAGAGACGAAAATTGTTTGGGGACTATCCCCCACGTTCTAGTTGAGATGGTATAACCCAAGAGGCAAAATGACGCTTGCGACTGTTGTTGCGAGTTGCCATTCGTTCTACTAAACCATTAGTCAAACGCCGTCATGTCTTCTGTCGTTATTACACAAACAAAAATCTCTTTACTGTTCCTAGTGTTAGTTCCTCCATATGGCTACGCTCGTGAAAGCAATACAACGAACTCAAACGCGTCTTCGTTCAATGTTGTCAACTAATATCCGGATTAATTTTATGCAAATTTTCCTCAATTCTCCGGAGAAATTTTCATAAAATTTTGAAAAACCCGGAATTCCGGGAAAATCCGGAGGACTTTCATCTCTGAAAGTCATACTTTTTAATTGGAAAAAATATCCAGTAATTTCTCGCAAATTGAAAAAAAAAATCACAAAAATGTTTTATTAAAATACCGTGATTCCATCAATTACAACTTGACATTTTTTTCCATTTCGGCGAGGCTTCGAGTATGCTATCACACTTTCAACCTCATTCATTTGACAAAAATGATGCATTTTTCCTGGTTGCATTACGGCAAATGTAGGACAACATCATATCTACCATGGTCTTGACAATGGGCCGAGGAGGGTGTAGGTCGTGAGGTTCGCGGTGCGCCAAGCACATCTGCCAGGCATCCACCCACATAACGTTGATACCCTTGAACATGGCACGTAACACAATGTCCTGCTGCAGCATCAACCAGTCGCTTTTGTACAAGCTGACATCCCGTTTTAGGGCCTGAGGGTTGGCGGTGCGGACTACCACCACTGTCTCTGGGGACCGGTCCAGGAGTCGCACCACCGCCTTGCGGATATGCCGAATGCGCTGTATGTACACCTCCACGGGGAAAGTGCTGAAGTGAGCCCAGATGCCGAGCGTCACCACCGTGTTGGGACCGCCGGTCAGGCCGTCCAGCTCGTTGGCGATGTAGCGCAACTCGCTGATCATGACGGGCTGGATGCGGACAGGTGGGCCGTGGAACCGGTAATTGAGCAGAATATTGTGGGTGACGTCCACTGCCATAAAGGGCCCCTGCTTTTTGGGTTTCTCCAGGGTGATATTCTTCAAGCCTGCAGGGCAGAATACAAAGACAGATGATTTCTACAGATGCCACAAAATGGTAGCAAATAACTTTTTTCCCCCTCATTACAATATATTCATTCATTCATTCATTCATTGTCCGAACGGCTTTATCCTCACTAGGGTTGCGGCCATTAGAATAAATGCAAAGCGTTATCGTGTACCTACTTGAGATAAAAAGGTGTTATGAGATGGAAATGCTCACCTGGAAGTACAGTGAGGAAGTACTCGAACCACTGGCGCATAGTGGAGTCGCCGTACATGTAGACTAATTTGTTGGTCAAACACTGAGTGATGGCAGATGCCTTGTTAAACTGGCGCATAGGAACGCCGCCCAATGGCCTCCACGAGTCCTGGTAATAGTACCCAGACGTCGCCAGCTTCACGGGGTCCATTTTTTGACGGCTCCTTTCTAAATAGATGACAGACACAATGATGTTGATGAAATTGCAACCCCCCCCCACCTCCCAGTGGTGGACCCTCAGGGCCAGCAAGGCCTTCTCTGCTGGCCTAAACATTCTCAGGAAAGTAAATTTACTTTTATGTATTTTATGTTATTTTATCATTTATGTTATTTTGTTTTCATAAATATGTAAACAAAATTACTCTCTGTATTCTTTACGTCATATTATTTCCACTTAGTTGAGTGGCTTTCAATGTTATAACATTGAAAGCCACTCGATAAATAACTTATTTATTATGGTAGAGTTTTTAACCAATCATATTTCAGCTAGCTTGCGTTGCCAGGTAAATTAAACTTGCTCGGGGCCTTCAGATTAAACAGAGCAGGCCCTGTGCACTGTAAGTGAACGGGCACAGTCAGGTTTCAATAGCCAATCAGATCACGTCTGAGACTCGTGATCTGTGTCCTGTATCCTGACTTGTTCTCGTCTGCTACTAGGGCTAGCTAGAATGCCTTACGTCGAGACTGGCCGGGCGCGTTCGGTGATTGGATTAGCGCCTTTTTACGTCGAGACTGGCCATGCGCGTTCGGTGATTGGATTAGCGCCGTTTCTGTTTCCTGAGAATTGTATCCTGACTTGTTCAATAAAGATTAA